ATTGAAAGTAGTTAGATTATTTAAGAAATTGTGTGATCAACGAAATGTGGGAGGAAAAAGAATGGAAGACAACTGTAGACACCAGAGATAGAGAGTGGAAAGAGAAGAGAGTGGAAAAGGGCAGAGGGTCAGACATAGGGGTAAATATATATATATGTACATATGAAACTAGAAATGGAAAATTATTGATGATAACAAGCAAGATTAAGTCACTATGCAGTATATTCTGGATGGGAAATCACATTTTGTATGCTATGATGATGTTTAGGTGATGAATGTAAATTAAGTTACAAAAAAAAATTTTTCAGGAAAAAAAACTATTCAATGACTGCAGTAAGATATATAGCCCCAGCTAGGTGCTACTTTATAGGATGCGTAAAGTTAGACTTGAGTTCATGGAAATGTATATATCAGCTGTGTTTGCTATGAAAATATTTAGATTAATTAAAGTCTTTAGTAATTCAATAAAATGTGTGGGGGGAGAACAGTATAGAAAGCAGACATTGATACCAGAGACAGTGTGGGAGGAGAGTGGGAGATGGCAGAGGGTAAGAGATAGGGAATTAAAGACGGGGGGAAAAAAAGCAAAACATACAGAAAACAAGAAATGGAAGATTATTTGCTGACAATAACGTGTTTGTTGATCTGCTTAATTGAGACAATATACAGTGTACTCTCGATGGAAAATCTCATTTTGTATGTTGTAATGATGTACAGTGAATGAATGCAAATAAATAAATTGAAAAAAAAATAAAATCACATTAAAAAATAAAAAAATAAAATAGAGCTTTATAGAGAAAAAGTGCAGGTGATTTTGTTTCTTCGACATTATTTTCCATTTTTCACTTAGAGTCAGTAGTGAATTTTTCTCTTTATATTTTCTTGAATCGTGTATATCCATGTAAGTGCTCTTAAATTCTTAATGTAACAGGGTGGGTTGTCCTGGGAGGGAATAAATGTCCTTCGCATAGAGTACGAATTCTCTGCAGTGAGGCTGCATCTCTGGCCTCCTACTGCTCATCCTGTGCTCTGGCCACATGGGGCTGAGTCCAGTACCTAGACCAGGCCTTAGACTTTCATTTCTCATTTTTATTTTCTGTTTATTTTTCCCTCTCGCATCCTTTCTTTCTGGAATGGCCTTGCCATTTTTCTGGTCTATCTGATAAAAATCCTACTTCTGTAAGATTCAGTGAGTTCATATTACCTATCAGATTACGTTTGTCTCCTCTTGAACACTTCTCCACTTCTGTGTTCCCGTAACAGTCTTTCCAAACTTAACTACACCGACATGAATGCAGGGTGTGATTAGTGATAGAGTATGTTTCTCTCTTCAGACTGTTGGACCCATTTAAGGGTATGAATGTGTCAGGCACATGGCCTGGGTTGCCTTTGTCATTTTAGCTCAGCGCTCAGTATGTAATTGTTCTCAGGTGCCATTGAACTGGACCCAAATAATTAAAGGGCTGAAATTGCTCAAGAAGCACCCCGGGTGAAATAATTGATCATAATTGGGTCTTTGCATGAGGAGGAAGTTTTGAGTTGGAACATTAAGGATAAAAGTCATTAGGTAGAGTGATAGCAACTCTTGATAATTCCTTATTGTACAACTTTCATTTTTAATATTCTGATATAATGTTTCATTGTTTTTTAAAAAAGGCGGAAGGAACTATATTAAAAAGCTATTGAATTTTTATACCCCTAGACTTAACTGCATATAATACTTATATAAAGTAAGTATTAAAAACATTCATTAACCTAGTGTGCTAATTTTATTTTGAGGTGTAATATTTGACTTCTGAAGACACTTTAATTGTCTTTCTTTCTTTGAAGAACTTTCGATTGCTTGTGTTGGTGTATTTGTTTATATCGTATGATTAAGAAAAAGTGAGCAATTCGTGTTACTAATCCCTCATCGATAAAATACTGAAAACCCTATTTCCTTAGACCAGTTCTTGGGATCTCTGGAAATTATCTAGCTTCAGCCACAGCTTTAAGCTCGCTCTTTCTCGCTCTCACCACAGGGCACGTGTGCTCACTGGAGAGAGAGACAGTGTGAGGGAAAGTGAGAAATCACCTCCCAAGGGGATGGCCACGCCATAATCCCTTCTCCTCTACTTTCCTCCTGGAAAGTAGATTCTGGGCATGCATACACATCTGGCGTGAATTTCAGGCTACCAGGTCCAGAGCTGAGACTGCGGCCAGCCATGTGGGAGTCTGCACCTTAACCACTCTGCTGCTTGCTGACCCCACTTTACACTTACTTTACAAAAAACACTGAGGAATCCGAAATTCCTCTCGAGGTGATTTGGTCACTCTCCATCATCAATCCATGACATTACTTCCCAGAACGTTACATGTAGATTGGTGTTACGTACCCTCTGGCAAGACCCTTGATTTCACAGCTGCAGAAACTGAGTCCAAGAAGGACAAGGTGGCTTTTCCAGAGTTGGCATAACTAATTAGTGCTCAGGGTCTGAACTGGCCTCTGTCCCTGTCTCGTGGCTCTGCGTTCTTTCCTTCTTCCCCATCACATTATCCACATAAGATAATACATGGGAACTTCAAGAGGTTTGTGTAAAGTGAAATTGAAGTATGAGTTTATTTTGGTGCAAAAAACGTTGAAATCCATGGATAGTTTTTTCAATAATATGCATTTCCCATGGGCTTTTTAATGATACTGTTGTATAATATTCATATCACATTTGCATTTCGAGTACATCCCTTGCATTCACGTACCTGGTCAAGGTGGTTTCCTTGTTGATCAAGTCAGTAATTTGTATTTTCACCTTTGTGTATTGTGAGATTTGTGTACCATATCTATAAAACTTGGCATCTTAGGAAGTGTTATATTCTACTTTTCTTTTTTTTAAATGCCGAGAGGGTGTGGGCAAGCACACTAGAGGGGTGAGGGGAGAGAAAGAAAACAAAGGGGCCTGGTCACACTGCAGTCCCTTTTCCTCCTACTTCCCCTCCCTTGAGGATCCTGGGTATGCATGCATGCACATGCATCTAGCATGTTGCCTCCAGATCCTGATTTGAACCCCAGTCAGCTATGTGAGATCCAGCTTCCTGCACATTGCCTGTCCACAGTGCTATGGGGCTGGCTCATTGGAAAGTAATGTAATCTCCAGCTGCCTTCATATGCATCTTAATTGTGGTAGTGATTGAAAAGCTTAAACTTTTTTTTTTTTCTTTTTTGGAGAGGTTTTTGCTATAGGGTGCATGCGCTCGCCAGGAAGAGAGAGACAGACAGAGAGAGAGAAAGCGAGAAATCACCCCCCAGAGGGGATGACCACACTGCATTCCCTTCTCCTCCATTCTCCTCTTGGGCTCTTGGGCATGTATGCATATGCGCCCTGCATGAATTTAAGCCACTGGGTCTGGGACTCTAACCGCACGGTTGGCTACATGAGAGTCCAGTGACGTAGCCATTCTGCTAACTGCTGGTCCTGAAGCTTAAACTTTTTTTTTTAACATTTGCTTATTTCTTCCAGAGAGAGAGAAAGAGACAGCAGCCGTAATAGGGTCTTAATGCCATGATCTTCACCGAGTCTTAGGCAGCCTCAAATCATGGACACATACATGCCTGGCATGCTCAGGGAGGCCTATGGATGTGAACATGGAACCTTCCCATGTGGCTCAGTCTCATGAAACATCGAGTTTTACTACTATGTCCAGCTCTGGACATTAGAGAAGCTTCAGGTTGTTCTGTGCCATTTCAGATAATCCTTCTTAGTCCAACTAGGGAGTAGAGTGTTAAAAAGAAGAGAATACTGTAGGAGAAATCCTTCTTAATCCAACTAGGGGATGAAATCTTAAAAAGAAGAGAATACCTTATGAAACCATATCAGTATCTTGAAGAACAATACACATCATTGCGATGCCTTGTGACAGGATGAATTGCTTAGGCGTATACATCTAAGACGTACCAAAGTTACTGAAGCTCTTCGCACATTTCTTTATAATTTGACTGTAGAATTAGTTATAGAAAAATGTTTGTAAGTGGTCCAAGCGCTAAGGTACATTTTTGTTTCTAATGTGCTTGTTTTGAAGAAATGTACTCATTTAAATTTAATATAGATTTTTGGGACCAGCAAATGGCATAATGGTTACGTTGCTGGACTCCCGTGTAGTTGACTATGGTTTGAGTTCCAGACCTGATGGCTTAAAACACACTCACACCTGTGTACTTGAGTGCATAAGCTCCCAGAGTGGAGAATGGAGAAGGGATTGTGGCACAGCCATGGATCCCTTGTTGGGTGATTTCTCACTTTCTGTCTCTCTGGCGAGTGCACACGCCCTATAGCAAAAATCTCTCTCTAAAAAACAAAAAGTGAATATTGTTAATATGCTAAGAAATGGAAAGAGTCAGGGCCGGCAGGTGGTGTGGTGGTTAAAGGCACTGGATTTCCACATGGCTGATCATGGTTTGGTCCTGGACCTGGTATCTTGCTTTCGTGCTTTCCCTTTCTCTCTCTCTCTGTCTCTGTCTGGTCAAATGAGACAATAATAATAACAAATGGAAATAAATAAATAATTCTTTTTTTAAAAAAGGAAAGAGTATTGTATATAAATGAAAAAACAATAGAGAAATAAATTTACTTCATTTATCAACTTTTGTATATTATTATATTCTTGATGCACATTTCTTTTATTCTTTGATATAGGTAAAATATCTATTTTCTGATAAGACTGGAACTCTTACATGCAATATCATGAACTTCAAGAAGTGCAGCATTGCAGGGGTAACCTATGGGTGAGTATGTTTAGCACTTACTGAAAATTTCACTTTCATTCTTCCTACAAAATTATATTTTTAGCTACTTAGCCAAATATCTTGACTTTCTAATATTTTGAAATATTAGAAAGTTATTATACTGGATCTGGATAAATGCTTACAATTTACTGTGTTTAAAACATAACGGGCCCCAGAACCAGCAGGTGGCATAATGGTTACATTGCTGGACTCTCCCACATAATCAACTGTGGTTTGGGTCCTGGACCCAGTGGCTTAAAACTCACACTGGGAAGGGACCAGCAGTTAGCATAATGGCTATGTCACTGGAATCCCACGTAGTCGACCGCAGTTCATGTCCTGGACCCGGTGGCTTAAAACTCACGCCGGGCACGTGTGTGTGCATGTGTGCCCAAGATCCCGAGAGGAGAATGGAGGAGAAGAGATTGCGGCATGACCATCCCCCCTGGGGGGTGATTTCTCACTTTCTGTCTCTATGTCTCTCTCTGTCTATCTGGAGAGCGCACGCGCCCTATAGCAAAAACGTATCCAAATAAATAAATAAATAAATAAATAAATAAATAAATAAATAAAAACTCACACTGGGAATAACATGCCGAAGATCCTGAGAGGAGAATGTAGGAAAAGGGACTGTGGCATGGCCATCCCCCAGGGGGGTGATTTCTCACTTTCTGTCTCTCTCTCTGTCTCTGTCTCTCCGGAGAGCACATGTGCCCTGTAGCAAAAATCTCTCTAAAAAACAAAATGAAACAAAAACCGTAATGGGCCCCATGTGAAATTTCCAGTTAGTTAAGACATGACTTATTTCTGTAAATGTTAACTCAGAAATCCTAAGTAATCACCCGCCAGGGGGGATGGCCACGCCGCAGTTCTTTTTCTTCTATTCTCCTCTTGGGATCTTAGGCATGCAAGCACACGTGCCTGGCGTGAGTTTTAAGCCACCAGGTCTGGGACTTGAACTGCGGTCGACTACATGGGAGTCTAGCGACATAGCCATTACGCTAACTGCTGGTCCCCAGTTACTTGTGTTTTGATCTCAATGTCTGTCTCTCTTTTTTATTGAGAGAGAAAAAGAAAGAAGTTGTTTCGTTTTCTACAGAGTCTTATCATTACAGTGTTCTGCCCCATCCTCCCAGTTAGCTGGGGTCACAGGTGTAAACCACTCCACTGTCCTGTTTGGGTTGATCTGAGATCACATAGTATCACCCTACAGCGCAGGCCACCACAGCTGGGTCCTGAAATACTTGTCTTTTGATCACAACCTTGTGACTACTTTGTTTTTTGTTTCTGGCAGTCATTTCCCAGAATTGACGAGAGAACCATCCTCCGATGATTTTTGGTAAGTAGGTTCTAGCATTTCTTGATGCACTAGTAAAAAGATTTCAGAATTATTTTATATTAGCATTTTTCATCTGAATATCTCTGGGCATAAATAGACGTTGCCTGTGTGTGAAAGAGGACCAGAATAAGGCTTTAGGACAGACATGATTTTAAAAGTTCTTATTATATTGTTCTAAATAAACAACCTACCCGTGACCCAGTACTTCTCATTTCATGGATGTATCTAACTTCTATTTTTTTAATCTTTTGTTAAATTTTATTTTCAAAATAAAATGTTTGCACTCATTTTTAAGAAATTTAAAAAGCTGAGCACACTGTTGGACTCTCTGTTATGGAAGATGAAAGTGCAGCCCTTTTCCCTCTGTGCCTGAGCTCTTCCTTAGCCCCCTACCCCACATTCCCTGTCTCTGTTTCTTCTCCTAGTATCAACATTGTTAGGTGCAACATCTTGTAAAATGTTTTTATTATAGGAAGGTTAAGGATTTAATGTTTTGAGGTTTGAAATAATACACAGTAGTCTAAGTCTTTAAAGGTTCGATATTCTAAATCTTCAGAAGTTTCATGTACATCTATAGGCTTTTAGGTGTGGAAGGCAGATTCTTGCCATGTCTGAGTTATCCTAGCAAGAACTTTCCAACTGAATGAATCTTTTGTTCTCTCTCACAGTCGGATGCCTCCTCCCCCTAGTGATTCATGTGACTTCAATGACCCCCGACTGTTGAAGAACATTGAGGATCACCATGTACGCACTGTTTCACTTCGAGTAGCTTATGGGTGCACTTTCACTTATGTAAATGTGAAATGTCTTGAAAGTTGCCATTTTGGAGCCCGTGAAGCCTCGATTTTAAGGTGTTAGTATTTCAGGTGAGGCTAGAGAAGTGGCCCGAGACCGTGCAGAGGAGCCTGCTGAAGTCCACGCTTTGTGTCTGTCATAGACACCAAAGAGGTCCTTTCCTGGGATTTGATCTTAGAAGTACAATAGGTCCAGCCCCAGGTCTAGAGGGTCTCTAAGCAGAAGTGTGATATCTTCTCTGGAGGAGAGTGATTCTAACCAAGAATGTCAAATAAACAAATACACTCAAAGAGGAAATGAGAGATTTCAAGTAGTGTTCAAGTTTAAGATATAACAAAGATAGCTGACTACATATGTCTGTCCTAGTTGGGATGGTGAATGGGAAGGAGAGAGTGGAAGTTGTTATAGAAGCTTAGGAAGCTGCTCTTAGAAGGCTAGTTTCATGCGGTTGGTTTTCCTGTGATTGATTGACAGGTGAATAAGTAACAGAGGACATGAGATGAGTGTACTGAGAGTGCTGAGTACCAGGAAACCAGTGTTGGCTTAGGGAGAGCAGCAAACTATTGGATCCATGATTAAATAAGACACTCATTTGTGCATCCTTCCATTTAGCAAATAGTTGAAGGGTATAGCTTATGTAAAACACCTTGCTGTAGGAACCAGGGTAAGAAATATAAATAACACTCCAGATATTTCTATTAATCTGGGAAACAAACATGTAAAGTTGTTAAGAGCCATTGTACACTTTTGCAGAACAGATATGATGCGACTTGCTGAGGAAGTGATTTTGTTTTGTGTTGACACAGGGATCCTCTCCTCTTCGGAGGGTGTCGTGGCTACCATAACTGTTGAGTTGAGGACAGTGGGGCTACCCACACTGAGTACTGGTATTTGCACTGAGCTAAATGTGGGTTGGCACAGAGACTCAAGGACAAATCCTCATGTAGAGAAAAGATCTTCTGGGGACCCAGAACATGTTGATGAAATACCAATTTTCTTAAGTATTTTTTAACACTTACCTCCAGTTAATTCGTAACTCACATGGGTGTTCTCTCCAAAGCTGGCCCACACTGATGTGTGGTAGGTTTCCAAAGGATTTAGACCACCCATCACATGCACTTTTTGAGCCTGTCTCTTGATATAGGAATGGAGACCTGAGCACAGTTAATGTCCCTCCAATAATCTCCCCCTAACCACCACCACTTTTTTTTTCGAACTTCCCCTCCATGACCATGGTAAATGGCAAGTATGTTAGGAAGAAAACCCACTGTTTGGAGAAGTAGTGATCTTTCTGCTTCCTTCCTTTCCTCCTGAGCCCAATTTCCTTTTCTTTTAGTGGAAAGACCAGTGAGAGTAGGGGCTGATGTTGCCCTGGTGAAAAGGAAGCACTGATATAGAAGAATTATCATGGGCTTAGAGGGAAAGTGAGAAATCCCTGCCTAGGGGGAAATGGTCATGCTGTAATCCCTTCTCCTCTATTCTCCTCCCAGGATCTTAGGCATGCATGCACATGCACCTGATGTGATTTTCAAGGCACTGGGTCCAGGACTTAAACCGTAGTCAGCTATGTGGCAGTCCAGCAACATACCCCCCCCCCCCCCCTTTATTTTAGACTGTCA